TTTTGTATTTTATTAATATTATTTTTATTTTATTAAATATTTTTAACACTAATTATACATTTCATAGTGTTTTTATGCATTTTTATATTTATTCCAAAATAATAACTAAAGGCAGTAACAATTTGAACAATATTTTGGAAACAGTTTACAATAAGGTTTCATTAGTTAACATTAGTAAACACATATATACAGTATATATTTAGAAAATATTTACATGTCTATATTTATATTCATATAATATATGAATAAATAAATAAATAAATATATTTAATATATAAACATAACATATTTTTCTGAAATACATACATGCACGTGTGTGTATTTATATATACATAATAAATATACACAGTACACACACATATATTATGTAAACAAAAACTTTTATTTTGGATGCGATTAATCATGATTAATCTTTTGACAGCACATACATACAGCGGGTAAAATAAGTATTTTAATAATTTTCCCATTACTTGGGAAAAATAGTGACATGTTCAATACTTATTTTACCCGCTGTATATACACACACACACACACACACACATATATAAAGTGAAATGGGTTTGGAATGACTATAAAGACAGATGTTTTATTTTTGGGTCAGGAATTCTTTTACATTTTTAATTATTTATGTATCATCATTATTAATAGTTACAATAATTGTATCTAATCTTTGTAATTAATTATTCTGTCACAGAAGAAAGTCAGTCACCTGGGTTGGTACAACATACAGATTTTTTTGGGTGACATATCTTTTTATCCCTATCCTTTTTATGGTACAATCATACCATAATTTACTGTAATTTAGCATGCACTACCCTCAATTCTCTTTTCTTCAGTGTTTTGAAAATACGTAGAGCTTTCCTTCAGTTTGTGTTCACTTGTGTCTTGCGAGAAATGCAAGCCATTTTGTTTATTCTCTGTGCTGTAAATATTAAACCAGTCAAAAACAAAGACATAGAAGTGTGACAATGATATATTTGGTTCATCCATTTTTTTTTTTCAAATACAAAATGATTGTAAGACATTTAAAACACATATTTTCTAGCCATTTCAAATTACAACATACCAAAAAAATAAATTCGCAATAAAGACATTTATAATGTTACAAAAGATTTCTATTTCAAATAAATTCTGCTTTTAAAGCTTTCTAGTCACCAAAGTATCCTGGAAAAATGTTTTAGTTTACACAAAATATTTGACATCACAACCATTTTTAATATTGATAATAAGAAGTCAAAACAAGATAAGCATATTTTTGAAAGATCATAGGACAAATGGGCTGCTGAATATTCAGTCATCACAGGTATATTATTTGGGTGTTTGTCATATTTTTGACCTAATTACTAATAGATGGTGTTCATTCAATGTCTTTAAAGAAATGTTAGCATTATTTATAATATATCTTGTTTTTTTAGAACGACATGAATGTGATTGCTTGTATTGCTAATTTCTGAATAAATGATTTGGCAGACAATCAGTCTATGGGCTCTCAGTCCAGTTCTGGGATGTCCGGTCAGGGCTCTGGCAGCAACCCAGACCAGTCAGAACCAGAACCCAACCAGAATTCCAATCAGACGGGTCGCACACAGGCCGAGAGGCAGTCAGGATCTGAAGAGGACGTTGATTTGGCACAAGTTCTGGCGTACCTACTGCGAAGGTAATTACAGTATATGCATAACCTACAAAACATTTATTTGTCGATGCCTTTGTCTGGGCTGCATTTTAAACATGTTTTGGAACTTTTGTCATATGGGTATTGAAAAGTGTTCTTCCCTTTTCTCTATTATAGGGGCCAGGTCCGCCTGGTCCATGGAAGTGGAGCGACGGGCCTACAGCTCGTGCAGTCATATTCAGACTCGGATGAGGACAGCGATGGGGCCTGGGATGGGCGGCTAGGACATCGATATGACCCTCCAGGTGAGAATTATGGACTGTATGGCATCAGTTTCAGTCTATAAACGTGAGAAATGGTGCCATAAATACCACTGAATTAAACACAATTCTGTGGTTATTTACTATGCCTTATTTTTTCTCACTCAGTGGATGCCCAACCAGACACACAGGAAATTGACCGCAGTGAGATCCGCACTCAGATCTTGCTTGCCACTGCTTCCTCAGGCCTAAAGGGCAGACACAGTTTCACACATATGCTAGCAGAGGTAAGATGAGCAGGGCATATATAGTAACAATACAATGAGTCTGAATGAGCAGCATTGCAGCTCTTCTGATTTGTAATTAAGAAATCAGGAAAACTTTTATACAGACAAATAGGGTAGAGTAGAGTTCATAAATGTGCAACTTTCTATAATTTAACTGTATTTCTTTCTGAAGCGGGAACATGGACGATGTTGTGGGTCGAGTTTCTCTCATGGAGAGTGCAGCCAAATCCGTTCACAGTAAGAGCAACATAAATGCTATGCTACAATAATAATGTATATTTGAAACCTTTAAATACTACATACTCACAGATACAGAGTCACATATTTGACATAGAGATTTTTTTTTTCTAAAACTGATCAGTCTTTGCATATGTATAATAAATCATATTAATTTCCTCATAGTTTCCTGCCCAATCATGTGGTATACAAGGACACCTATCAGCAGAAAGTCTTTTGTGGAGTCTACAGTGATGAGGGAAACATGTTCCTGTCTGCATGCCAAGGTGAAACTGTAATTCAAGACTTTGTCATTAGTATTTATTTTCTATTTTTAGTAGTTTCCAAATGTCAGTCATGTCTCAGATATGTTCAAATGCATAACAAAGTTCTACAAAAGTCCAACATTGTAATTGTTTCCATCTTTAATTTAAGCACATAAACTACTGTTCGAAAGTTTGAGGTCAGTAAGGTTTATTTTGTATTTTTTGTAAGAAATGCAAAAAATTGCATCAGACTGATAAAGTGACACTAAAGACATTTATAATGTTACAAAGATTTCTATTTCAAATGAAAAAATGCTTGTGGTTGTTACAAAAATATTATGCAACAGCTGTTTTCAACATTGATAAAAACAAAGAAATGTGTCTTGAGCACCAAATTAGCTTATTAGAATGATTTCTGAATCAGCTTTGCCTTCACAAAAATAAATGACATTTTAAAAATATTAAAAAAGAAAACTGTCATTTTAAATAGAAATAATAATTCACATTATTACTGTATTTTGATCAAATAAAAACAGGCTACATGAGCATAAAAGACTTATTTCAAAAGCAAATATGCGAAAATCATTGAACTGTGTAGCGTAAACAGTATCTTATACTCTCCTTTTTCTGTCTTTGTTTTTATAGATCAGAATATCAGGTTATATGACACTAGCAGGGGCCGTTTTACTCTAAAGAAGACAGTGAAGGCCAGAGACGTGGGCTGGAGCATTCTGGATGTGTGTTTCACCCCTGATGCACGTTGTGTGCTGTACTCCAGTTGGTCTGACTACAGTAAGACAGGGCCAGGTCACTTAAACTGCTTTGTTGGCACTACTGTCATTTATTCCAGTAATGCATATCTGTCTGTGCTCCCTCTCTTTAGTCCATGTGTGCAGTGTAGATGGGGACAATGAAACACACACCGCTCTGGACCTCAAGTTAGTGTTTCCTCATAGTACATTTTAGCATTAAACCTCAGGTAATCACCTGTACGCTTCCTCTTCATGTGGATGACAGACAGTAGAACAGCTTTCCATAATCATTCATCACTACAGCCATCATGTGACTGTGAGCTAACCAAAACTGAATACGATGGCAAAGTGTAATCTGAAGGAAGTTTGTTTTCAAAGTAATAACCAATTGTGGTTGCTTTTTTATATTTTAGGAACAATTCTTAATTATTTACTAATTAGTTCACTTCTTTTTTTTTATTTTCATATATAATCATATGTTTATTCTCATAATATGTAGGAACAGTAACCCCTCTTATTGAAATTATAATTAAAGTGCCATAACACCTTCAGATATGCTTTCTGCCTCTTCCATTAAATTCACAAGACCATTGTTGACGTCTTCGCTGCATTGCATAACATTTAGTGACCATCCTGTGATAATAAACTGTAATATTATGCTTTTAGATGTTTGGTCTTGCTCTGTTCATCCCCAAGGAATGTAGAGCTGTGTGAATGGAAATGAGTTTAGATGTTTAAAGATTTATATTTAATTATGTTTTAGTATAGCCTGTGAAGTATATTGAACGTAATCGCCATAGAAATGACTGTAGTTGTTAGTGTTTAAGGTTCCTGATGCTGACAGGTGTCTGTTCTTCTTCCAGACCTGATGAAAGGAGGTTCTGTGTTTTCTCATTGGCAGCATCCACAGATGGAAAAGAAATTTTAGGCGGGTTAGTAACATACTATGGTCTAAGAAAACTAACCCCAGAAAGCGATCCTTTAATAACTCATTATTAGTTTTTAAATCTGGATTTTTTTTTTTAAACATGTTAAAATTTGTTTTGCTTTTCTGATTTCCACTATTGGTATTTTATTTTATTTTATATTTTATTTTATTTCACCTACCATACATAGAAACCTAAAGTGTTCCTTTATTCTTACTGAGATCCTTTTTGTCTCTATCAAATAGAGCAAACGATGGCTGCCTGTATGTGTTTGATCGGGAACAAAACAAGAGAACTCTAAAGGTATGATTCACAAATTTGTAAAGTAATAGAAGGGCATAAGTTTGCACTCTTAATCCAGGTACAAAATTCCTTAATATTTTTTTAGAGGCTAGTGGAAGAGAAAACGTCACAAATACCCCTTTATCAGTAACCCAAAGATGTTTTGTCAGTTTTCATCTGCTGTACTTCTAAATACAGTAAATGTTGAATTAATGGTGCATGCTACCTTTTATTGGATCAATATCTGTTAACTCTACTGTCAACCTGTTATACTTCTCAGCCATCCTGTGACTTTAAGCCTTGCGTAATCTTTACAGCTCCTGAGTCTCAGTGCATCAAAGGTCTAACCTTCTGAATTTAATGTGGTCATTGTTATGCGAGATAGATTTACTGAGAACATTATGCAGACATTGCCCTCTGTAGCATGACTCATGTGAATTCGGTTGTTTATCTCGTCATCTTTCAGATCGACGCTCACGAGGATGATGTGAATGCCGTAGCGTTTGCAGACAGTTCATCACAGCTGCTGTTCTCAGGCAGTGATGATGCTCTGTGTAAAGTATGGGACAGACGTACCCTCAGAGAAGACAGACCACAGCCTGTGGGTCATCTGGCTGGACACAGAGATGGAATCACCTTCATACACAGCAAGGTATGGTATCATTGTCAAGACACTGTGTCTTACAATACAGTTACAACACACTTAAACCTTTTACATAATAATATGTGATTATAAACCAGATAATTGTGAGCATAGTACAATATACACTTCCGTTCAAAAGTTTGGGGTAGGTATAAGTTTAAGAAGGCTGCTTTTATTTAATTGAAAATACAGTAAAAACTTTAACATTGTGAAATATCATTACTATTTAAAATAGCTATTTGGAATGTTAATATTTTAAAATGTAATTATAATATAAATGTAATTTAATGTAATTTTTACTCAGTGAAAATTATTTTTACTGTAAACTAATTTTTACAGTAATCATTCTAATATGCTGATTTGCCGTTCAAGACACATTTCTTATTATTATAAATGTTGAAAACAGTTGTGCTACTTAATTTTTTTATGGAAACAGTGATGCATTTTTTTCAGGATTCTTTGATGAATAGAACTTTAAAAAGAACAACATTTATTTGTAATAGAAATCTTTTGTATTCTTTTCTGTCACCTTTTCTCAATTTAATGCCTTCTTGCTGAATAAAAGTATTAATTTCTTTCTTCTTTTTTTTACTGACCCTAAACTTTAAACAGGACTTTACATAGAGTAATCATTTATCAATTTATGTAAAATAATAAATCAAACTGACAAATAAATACTATAACATATTTGAAACTATTGATGTTTAAAAATGTAGTTCAGTGTAAAAGTATATAAATTAATAATTCACTTTTCAAATTGTATTTATAGAAATACAGACATTTAAAGCAATTTATGGTTAAGCATTAACACTTTTCAGTAGCACTCATTATTGCTATTATGAATAATACAACATTATTTGTAATGTCATATTATTTGAAAAGTAATTATTTACATTTTTATATTTTAATTGATTATTTTATTTTTAATATATATTAAATATACATAAATATACACCCAAGAAACAAAGCAAACTACATGCCAGAAATATGTGGACACTCTCTTCTAATAGACCGTTATCACCGCGGAATTGATTACCGGAAGTTCTCGTCGAAGCAGTGTATCGATTCTTCCGGTTATGTATATTTTTCAATGTGCTGTAATCACCCTGTTGAATAAACAGCTGTTAAAATGAGCATCTGCAGGATGATTTCAAATTCCGTAATTTTCAGAGACAGGTGAAGAGATATTCTGATGATTACTGTGCACAGAATTTTCCAAACTCAACGGAACTTGTAGTTGTAATCCAACGTAAGCCGATCTGAGAAAGCCGTGGCTCGTAAACATGCGTGATGATTTCAACCACACTGTGTCAGTGCTCGTTTAATAGTGACTGCGATGCTGCAGTGTGTGCAAGACCTGATGAATACAAATTTATTCATTTGTATGAAATTTTTGCTATTATTCTGTCATTTTTCACAGTCAATTCACATATTTATACTAAATTTCTTAATTCATATTCAAAGTCACGCTGTCAACACGTTATCCTGTTTAAGATTAATTAGCCTAAATGTTTAACATTGTTAAATTTATTCTATTTTAATACTGCTCTTACCAAAATTAACCATGGTTTTGCTAACCATAGTTCAACCATGGTATGTGTAGTAAAACTGTGGTAATATAAATGGAAATCAGTCCGCGGAAAAAAACAAACAAACATGGGTACTACATTTTTACTATAATAAAACCATGGTTAATTTTTGTAAGTGTGTTTTGTCAAATTCATTTAAAAAATGTAAACAGGTATGTATATATATAGGTAAATATAATCAGTAAGAGAATAACATTGTTAATGAGAAGACGAACTTGACTGCAGCAGGTTAGTTGGGAAATAAATGTATTTACTCAGAATGCACATTTGGAAGGGAAATATATTAATAGGAACATTTCAGCAGGATGAAGATATGAGATGGAGCCCTAAATGTCCTCAGTTTCGAATTGCATACTATGCACGAACGTTTTCCCGCTTAATATTTTAGAAGGACCTTCATCCCACCCCATCAGTCTCATCCATGCTTTCCTCAATTCGTGTTGTGTCAGGAAATCGTGAAAACTGAGGCAGTATGTCGTTGTTTAGAATCAAAGCAGCCAGGTATGCTGCAGTAACACCGGCGAGAGAAGTTTAGAAAGAAAGGAAAGAGAGCATTCGCCCATTAGTTTTGATTGCGTTGCGATGGGACCGGAAGTGGCGATACACCACTTCACTTACCGGATATAGGAAGTGTGATAAAGGTCTATTAATGGGTTTGACCATTCCAGCTACATTCAGGTGCATAAAAGCAAACCGTGGATGTCCACATATTATTGGCAATGTATTGTATGTCACAGTGAACAAACTGAAGGTAATTAAAAAGTTAAAGAGCTAGACTGTTAACATAAAATTTGTAGGTTCAAATCCAGGTAAAGGTGATTATACAGTTTAGTTGCTTCCCTTCAAGCACTTTTCAAGCAGCTTTTGTTTGTTGTTCTGAAGGGCGACGCTCGGTACTTGATCAGCAACTCCAAAGATCAGACCATTAAACTGTGGGACGTGAGGAAGTTTTCACCTAAAGAGGGGCTCGCGGCTTCACTGCTCGCTGTCACACAACAGAACTGGGACTACCGCTGGCAGCAGGTTCCACAGAGAGGTGCGTTACTCTGCTTGAGTAACTTTAATAGACCTGCTTGTTTATTTTCAAGCTTAATTTTATACATGAACACAAAGCACCTGTTTTGACTTGTTATTTTGTTGGCCTGCAGCAATAAAGAGGCATAAGCTGACTGGCGACACCTCTGTGATGAGCTACAGGGGTCATGGGGTTCTGCACACGCTCATTCGCTGCCGCTTTTCCCCTGAATTCAGCACTGGACAGAAGTTTATTTACACAGGCTGTTCAACAGGCAAAATCGTCAGTAAGTGGAGAGTAATAGCAAGTGTGAAATTGTTTTTAAAGTGACTTTTTATTGTTATCCAAATCTGCAATATTTTACCTCCTCCCATCTTTTATGTAGTCTACGATGTGTTGACGGGATCCATTGTGTCCAAATTGTCCAATCATGACGCATGTGTGAGGGATGTCAGCTGGCACCCCTATCACAACAACATGGTCAGCAGCTCTGTAAGTAAAACCACTGTTTAATACTAGTGTTTATTTTGTTAATGAAAACAATGAAGTATTTGTTGACAGCATTGCTGACAAAAAAAAAAAGATAATAAAATCCCTACATTCAAAATCTCTCTATTTTTTTAACAACAACAACAAAAAAAACAGGAAAAATGTAGACCTCCAGAAGTTTTTGTGCATACGGTTGCCAGGTATCAGAGCTTTTCTCCTAGAAGGATACATTTTTCCCCTCTGTTTTACTTAATCTTGTACTTAAACCTGCAACTGTGTACTATCTGGTCTAAGAAAACAGCACTGATAATCTGAAAACAATACAGCCAGTTTGTGTTCCTTCACACGGACGTTTGTGCGGCTTGCTCCAACTAAATCTTTATAAATCCTTATAAATCTGAATTTATAAATCCACATGTATCTCAACAATAATGTTTGCAATTGTGGTTGCTTAAGAAATGCACTCAGGCAAACTCTTGGCCATAATACAAAGTCTTTTTGTTGTTTTAATAGAAAAACATGAATATAATTTGGAATTATTGGAATTAATGATAGGAATTTTAGCAAAGTTTTAGCTTTTGAGAGAAACTTTTGAGTTTACCAGTTTTAATAATGTAGGGCTAATGATGGGCTAATATAATAAATCAGGAAACAAGATGGTTAATCGTAATAGTAAAAGGATAGGTAAAATAAACCATGTATATGATTGGACATTTCCTTGATTTGTGCTTATAGGTGAAAGTGTAATAATTCCGTAATTCATAACCATAATGCGGCAGAGCTGGGTAGATTGCTTACAAATTGTAATCAGTTACTGATTCCAAATGACATGACAAAAACTGTAGTTAGTAACGTAATCCATTACATTACACATTTTTAGTCATATAATCAGACTACTTTTAGATTACTTTTGACCCATCTCGATTTAAATAGGATAATCGTGTACCATATTGATATAAAAATACAAAGAGTAAGAAAATTCCATTCCAGAATTCCATTTGTTGTTATCAACAACATGAAGTGCATTAAAGTTTTAATAATGTAGGGCTAATGATGGGCTAATATAATAAATCAGGAAACAAGATGGTTAATCGTAATAGTAAAAGGATAGGTAAAATAAACCATGTATATGATTGGACATTTCCTTGATTTGTGCTTATAGGTGAAAGTGTAATAATTCCGTAATTCATAACCATAATGCGGCAGAGCTGGGTAGATTGCTTACAAATTGTAATCAGTTACTGATTCCAAATGACATGACAAAAACTGTAGTTAGTAACGTAATCCATTACATTACACATTTTTAGTAATATAATCAGACTACTTTTAGATTACTTTTGACCCATCTCGATTTAAATAGGATAATCATGTACCATATTGATATAAAAATACAAAGAGTAAGAAAATATATTCCATTTGTTGTTATCAACAACATGAAGTGCATTAAACATTATATCACATCAAGGTTTCCCAAACTGGGTTTGTGAAGGAACTGCAGGGGGTTTATGACTTTAATGAAAAGCTAATAGTTAATTAAATCATAAAAATGTTAAACTAAAAGAAATTATTTTAAAATGAATCCAAATAAAACCCTTATTAAAAAGTGAAATATTTTATTTGTTTACCTGCATGTAATGTGACCATAACCAATGTCAGAGAACCGTGAACATGCAAATGTAATACTTCATTATTAAAATATTCATTTTTAAATCTCAGGGGTACTTTAAATAAAAAATATATATTCGGTGAAATAAGATTAGATGACAAAAATGTGGTGGAATTTGTGAATTTGTTTATTTTAATGTTTGAAAGACAAACGCCTTCCAAATTAATACATGGTAAAAATAACCAACTGAGTGATAATTCAAATAAAAATGATAATACATTTTCTTCAGTGGTTGATGCAATGTTGAAACACTTTTTAAACCTGAAATGATTTTTGTAAATCCAGTGGTCAAATGCAGCCACCTGACTAATGACTGGTCTCTGTGTGAATTTCTGAATGTATATAAGCGGCAGGCTATTTCAGAAAGGAAAATTTAAAAGATGAAAAAAAGAAATTAGGGAGAATCAATAAATTATGAATAAATTATTCCTATTGTGTAAATAATATGTAATCATGTAATCCATAAAAAAGTAACTGTAGTCTGATTACAAGTATTTTAAAATGTAATTTAATCAAATAACAAGTACTTAATTTTTGAAATTCTATTACATAATTCAGATTTCATGTAATCAGTTGCTACCCTGCTCTGTTACGGGGTATGAGTGAAATATGAGTAGAAGTTTCTTACGTTCACAAGATTTCATTGATTAAAACTAGACTAAAACTCACACCCTTTTAACCAACTAAAACTTCACTAAACAAACAATTGTATAGGTTGACTAAATATGACACAAGATTTGACACAAGACTAAGACCAAGAAATGTAAAAAAATAAAATAAAAAAAAATACTATTTAATACTATACCTTTATAGGACTGAGGCTTTTTTTTTTTACTCATTGTATGTTTTTGTTTTCCTTCTCGTCACGTTTGCTCAGTGGGATGGTGCCATCCGTCTGTGGGAACACACGCAGAACCACCCTCTGGACAAAGATCGAGAGAGGATGAACGTGGATATGGTGGACATGAAAACCAAACGCTTTTGATGACGTCAGAGGTAGTCATCAATGGTGCCATCATTGCAGGAATGGAATGAAGGAGGAATAAATAAAAACCAAATCAGAAAAGAGAACCAATTTTGTGCAGAGAATTTTGTGAAATCATATTGATGTAGTGTTAGGCAGGCTCTTCAGGTGTTTGTTTGATTTCACATTACCGGTTTAAAGTAAAAGGATCGTTTCGTTAATGAACACGGGGCGTGCTGTGATTTCTCTTTTACGCCTCTCTTTCAGCTCGGAGATGGCCGTTTACGCTTAAGTGAAAGACTTTGAATGAATTTCACCAATATAAAGAACGCAGGCACAAACACAACTGCTTCGCTTGAAAAATTGCTTTACCCAAAAAAAGCAATACTTGCATAATGAAATATAGCCTAATGGACATGTTTCTAAAAGTGCAACGAATTCTGGGAATAATTCTAAATATTGTAAGATATTTTATTGCTATTAATGTTCAGGATTTGATTTTGTAGTTTATATATGTACAAAATCTTTTCTTTGTCAAAACTCTGAATGTGTGTTAAAAGTGTGTGTGTGGAGACATAGCTGTGGGTTTACGGGTATGGGAGTGAGTTTCTTTATGCGTGTGTGTGTGTGTGTGAGTGTGTGCAGATATGTTTCTGTTGACAGAGGTTTGATTTGTGTATGATTTAAGTGCATTTAGAATTCATTGGAACACAAAATTGTTTTACAAGAATAATTAAATTTGTGCGCACAACTTTGTTTGTTCGGACTATAAATCGCATCTCGAATATTTCAGTCAGCTGCAAGCAATACAGTTAGTTACATGCAGTGCTACACGCATTCAAAATGATTTTCAAACAATTTAAGACAAGGTCAGAATTTAGGTACTCACACTGACAGTGTCTCATGTAGTCTAGACAAGAGTGTACTGTATATTTGCTATATTCTAATGACAGTAAGTAGAGGAAACATTGTCTTTTCTAACATGTGAAGAAGAAAAAAATGTGTTCAACATATACATTACTCAGTAAGGTCTTTTTTTTTTAAGGAAATTAATACTTCTATTCAGCAGTGATGGATTAAACTGATCAGAAGTGACAGTGAAGACATTTATAATGTTATTTTCTTTTTCTTATTATGAAATGAAATTTTCTCCAAATCAACATATTATAATGATTTCTGAAGGATCATGTTACACTGAAGACTGGAGTGCTAAAAATTCTGCTTCACCATCACAGGAATAAATTACATGTAAAAAATATATTTAAAAAACAGGTCATTTAAAAAAAATGTTTAAAAAAATATTTCATATTACTGTTTTTACTGTATTTTTATAACTAAATAAATGCAGACTTGGTGAGTATAAGAGACTTTTTTTCAAAAAAACAATAACAAAAATCTTACTGCCAAGCTTTTAAACAGTACTGTAAACAACAATAAATAGTACAATAAACACAATGAGCACATTTATTACAATAACCATATAGTCAGTATACTGTAGTTATCAGTTACTTGTTTATATTAGTAATTGTATAGTGTAAATTTTACTTTACTAATTGTTTTAATTGTTTGTAAAAAAAAATAATAATAATAATGTTTTATTGTTGTTTTGTCTTCTGTTTTGTATTTCTTGTTTTGTGTTTTTGTCTAGTGTCATGCTTTTTGTTTAGTTTTTTGTTTTGTTTGACCTTTTTTCCAAAGCCAACGTTTATTTTAATCCATACTACAGAGACAGATGCTACATAGAGTTGAAACCACAAAGGGAATGTTGCTGTGCTGCTATACATCTCACACACACACACACACACACTCACAGAGAGAGCAAGCTGATAAGATGGGAATGTTTGGAGCTGTTTGGAGCAAAATGTTGTCAGGACTGTGAGTGAAAGGGTAAATGATGAGAAGTGTGACATAAACCAGCAGGTTGAACTCAGCTGAGAAAACAAAAGGGAAGCTAATAACCCTGCTGACAGATGCTAGAACAATCTCATTTCTCTCCTTCCCTCAGTTAGTCGATCTGTTGAACATGCAGTGGAAGTTCTGCCCTCAGCAAATCAAGATGGATCTTTGTGGACTAAAGAAGATACTTTATAAGATCCATAACTCTGTCAACAAGCTTCTGCACTGGGCTCTGGTGCACTTCACTGATCTCACAGCTGGACTACTGGCTCATTTCTTCTTCAGACGGCAGTTTCTCTTCCTCCTCTCTGTGCTGGTGATGTTTGGACCTGTTCTGAGTCTCTGGGTCTCCAAGTACAGCATATTTGGCAACAAGAATCACTACCTGTACAGGCAAGATCTTATTCTAGTTAACTCTAGAATTACCTTATTAGAGTTTTTGAGTGTGAAGCTGATTTTTATATATATGTGTGTGTGTAGTATATATACTAACAATATATTAGTTCTTTAATAAATACATATTATTGTAAATATTATTAGTTACACTTTACAATAAGATTCAAAAAACTCATGTTTTTTTGTATTTATTTCGGTTAATGTTAATTTTATACATATATTATTCATTGTTTATTCATGTTTGTTCATAACACATTACGTAACAAAATGCATATGTGACCCTGGAGCACAAAACCAGTCTCAAGTCGCTGGGGTATATTTGTTGCAATTGCCAACAATGCATAGCATGGGTCAAAATTATCGATTTTTCTTTTATGCCAAAAATCATTAGGCTATTAAGTGAAGATCATGTTCCATGAAGATATTTGGTAAATTTCCTACCATAAATATATCAAAACTTAGTTTTTGATTAGTAATATGCATTGCTAAGGACTTTATTTAGACAGCTTTAAAGGTGATTTTCTTAATATTTAGATTTTTTTGCACCCTCAGATTCCAGATTTTCAAATATTTGTATCTCGGCCAAATATCATCCTATCCTAACAAACCATACATCAATGGAAAGCTTATTTATCCAGCTATCCGTGATGTATAAATCTCGATTTAAAAAAAAATTGACCCTTATGACTGGTTTTGTGGTCCGGGGTCACATATACATATACACACACACACACACACAAAAAAATACTGATCAAGTAAATGAATTTATGGGAGTGTTTTGAAAGATTACTACTGTACATCAGTCTCTTTCCATACACTTCACAAATCATTTACATAATGAAGAGAATGAACTTGGTATTTAAATGTGTATTGCTATTATTGATGTACAGTATTTTCGGTTATTTATTATAATAAATGTATGTAAGTTAATTTGACCATTTTGTATTTCCTTTGTCTTGTTTGTTTTATGAGCTATTGATTGTGGTTGTTGTGATCTCATAGGCTCTGCCTGCATTCATGCTGGGGCTGGACCTGTATATTATGTGGCTCTTTCATCTTTCTTCTCTCATACTGCATCAGTAACTCGTTCATTCACTCAGTCCGTCACCTCTCTCGACTCGCTGTGGACACTGTTCCGCCGTCTCCTCTCCTTCCTAGTGGACGCCTCTGGAAGCTGTTTTGAGCCACTTCAAAGCCCCACAGAAGTCCACAGGAACCCCCGGGGAGCTCCTGGACTCTGATACAGGCCTCTTATTACTACTGAGAGAGGAAAAGGGTAAAGCAGCCTGCCTTAAAGCCGGCCTACAGTGGCAGGTATGTGAGGTGACTGATGACATCCTCATTCTTAGTTTATGTTGTTTGATTTTTGCTGAAGAAATGGGGGTTTTTAGGCCCTGCGTGGCTTTAGGAAAGCCTGTAGGGACGCCACTGAGGATACTCTTCTTGTGTTGTTGATGAGTCTCTGGATCTTCCTGATTGTCTGCTTGCTAGCGCACTTCCCGCGGTTTCCGTCCCAGCTGGTTGGAGGAGCTCTTGGGTATCTGGGATGGAAGGGCCTTTATTATAAGGGCTGGTGTGTTTTAAAGCCTGGCTGGTGCTGTGTTGGAAGACCGAAAGCTTTGCTTTCAGATAACACATGTAAGTAATACTGCATCAAATGGGACATGAATGTTAAGGAAATGAGAAAAAGAATATATAAAATGTACAACTTTTGTAAATGGGTGTCAGAGTCAAAAAAATATACATACCTTTATTCAGATATATAAGTTCAGGGTCAACAATATATATATTTTTTTTTTTACATTTTTGAAAGAAGATGCTCACCAAGGCTACATTTATTTGATCAAAAATACTGTAAAACAATAATATTGTGAATTATTATTACAATTTAAAATAACTTTTCTATTTGAATATATTTTAAAATATAATTTATTGCCGTGATGGCAGAGCTGAATTTTCATTACATCATTATTAAAATTTTTTGTCTTTGCCAAATAAAAGTATTAATTTCTTTAAAAAAACAACTTTTAAATGGTAATGTAATTTAACATTATAATTAACATTATTAAAGTAAAATAAATATGCGTGGGTGTATATTCTACTACACTTTACAAATTTAGATGATAAATGACATTAAGTTGCTAATTTAATCTATTAATTGTATTTACTTTATATTCATATTTTCATATTTTTGTGGACACCATTTATTTAAAACAGAATCTTTTGTAACATTACAAATGTCTAACTTTTGATAAATTTTTTTTGCATCCTTGTTGAATAAAAGTATTTATTTCTGATCTAAATCTTACTAATAAGTTTGAACGGTAGCATATGTGAAAAATTAAATAGTTATTTTCCTGTTTTGTCTGACGTTAATAATTATAAGCAAGCATAATAAAACTAATGTTTTATGACATTTTGAATAAAAACATGAGAGATACCACATTTAAAGTCTTTATTGAGTAAAAACTGTACTACAGTAGGTTCTGTTGATGTAATTGAAGCTTAAGTCAATGCACTGTGACTGTGGATGTGAAACTCAATAGGACATGTTTTTACTTTTCAGCAAATGTGTGTTTGTGTGTCTTGTCAGTGCAGATCGGCTGCGGTACTCAGTAGATAAGTGCTTTTGAAGACAAGTCTCCTCTGGGCTTCTTAATCTTGTCACAGTTCTTGATGATGACATCATACATCACAGCCTAGAGTTGAACGAATGGATGAAATCAGACACAGCCGTCTCACCAGACACATAAACACCACCGTACATTCAAATGAGAAACTGTGATGGTTTGTTTAGAGTAAGCTGAGACTGAACTTACATAAGTGTTGCGAATCTCCAGGACTATGATGCGTAACTCACAGTACTGGTGCTGATCCAGTTCATGGACAAGCTGTCTGAAATCTCCCTGTTGCCAAGCAACAAAACAATCTAATTATCAGAAGCTCAAAGAATTCATTCAAAGAATTCAAGGATCATGTCAACTGGTTTAATTGAGCTAAATCTAACATCAAATAAACTGACCACATGTGGCTGTTTGGAAGCCTTGGCTACAGCATCTCCTCTCTCACTGTAGTATCTGAGGAAACAGAAACACATCACAACTGCATATCCATGTCTAAAAAATTATTATTAAAAAATATATAAAATAACTAGTATTTATAATAAAGGTGTTAGACTGTGTTTGTAATGTAGTCTGGTCACTTACTTGGAAATCTGTGTCTGGAATCCCTCGATCTTGGTGCGGGTGTTGGTAAGCAGTTCAAAAACTTTTTCCTGTAGGAACATTTTTGCTTTTATTCACATAAAATTCTCACAACTGTGTACTACTACTAAATTATATATAAATATAACACCGTTCAAAAATGTGGGGTCAGTGAGATTTTTTGTTGTTTTCCCTTATGCCAAGTCTGCATTTATTTGATCAAAATACAGTAAAAACAGTAATATTGTGAAATATTATTACAGTATATTTGACAGCATTTCAGTATATTCTAAAATGTAATTTATTCCTGTGATGCAAAGCTCATGACTCCAGTTTTTTAGTGTTACACGATCCTTCAGAAATCATTCTAATATGCTGATTTGGAGCTCAAGAAACATTTCTTATTGCTAATGTTGAAAATAAATGTGCTGCTTAATATTTTTGTGAAAACTGAAGCGATCAGTCAGCAGAGCAGGCGGGAGCACCTAAGTGTTTGCTTAATACTTTGTTTCCGGATTTGAGCAATTACCCTGCTATAGGCTTTTGGGTGTGCTAATTTAACAAGGCGGCCACAGCTGTTTTCTCTGAAGTGTCGGGTGGCTGTGCATTTGTTTGTTGTCTGTCAGCTGAGGCGGAAGCGTTCAGCCCTCGTGTGAAGACCTACGAGTGTAAAGACCTACGACTTTACCTGCGCGACTTTAACCGAGCAACGAAACCGGCAACTCACTTAAAGGGATAGTTCACCCAAAAATGAAAATTCTGTCATTAATTACTCACCCTCATGTCGTTCTAAACCCGCAAGACCTCCGTTCGTCTTCGGAACACAAATTAAGATATTTTTGATGAATTCTGAGAGCTCTCTGACCCTCCCATAGACAGCAATGTAATTACCACGATCAAGGTCCAGAAACATAGCAAGGGCATCGGTAAAATAATCCATGTGACATCAGGGGTTCAACCGTAATTTTACGAAGCTACGAGAATACTTTTTGT